GGGGACAATTTCTGAATATTTTAGTGCTCGAAATTTTAGTATTGCAAGGGTGTAATATTACCAAGGCCCAATACTCCAAGGGTCCAATTTTCAAAAGACTCAATTTCCTCAAATTTCAGTATTTTCTAATTTTAATATTCGAAGGATACAATTTACACAAGTTTGAATACTTTAAAGGCCCAATTTTTCCAAGTCTCAACGTTCATTAGGCCCAATTACCCTAGGTGTCATTTTTTCCAAATTTCAATGTTCTTAAGTCCAAATTTTTCCTAGTTCCATATTTCCCAAACTCCAATATTTCAAAGTCTCAATTTGCTCAAGTTATCATATCAATAAGGCCCAATTTCCCTAGGTCTCAATATTTCCAAGCCTGAATATTTTTAAATTTTACTTTTCCCAAATTGCAATATACCAAAGATCCAATTTCCACAAGTTTCAATATCCCAAAGTCCCAATTTCCCCAAATCCTAAGGCCCAAATTTCCCCAGGTCCCATTATCCCCAAATCTCAATGGTTCAATTCCCAATTTTTCCAAGTTACATTTCTCTCAAATTACAATATTTCAAAGATCCAATTTCTATAAGTCCCAGTACTGGAAAGACCCAATTTTAATAAGTCCCAATATCCCCAAATTTCAATGTTCTCATATCCTAATTTTCCCAAGTACATTCTCTCATAAATTCTAATATTCCAAAGACCCAATTTCCCTAAGTCCCAATATTTATAAAACTCAATTTTCTCTAGTCTCAATATCTCCAAACCTCAATATTGCAAAAACCAAATTTCCTTAAGTCCCAATATTCCAAATTCCCAATATCTCTAGATCTCAATATTCCCAAGTCCCAAAATTCCCCAACTTCTAAGTCTTCAAATCCAAATATCCACAAGTCCCAACATTTCCAACTCCAACACTCCCAAGTCCCAATATCCCAAAAACCCTTCAGTCATTTCTAACCTAAACCTCCTATCCCAAAATCGCGCTAAAAACTTCAATAATATATCCTTCAGCCTACCGTTCCAATATTCCAAAAAACAGTAACACAATTTTTACCCCAGATCCCTAGAATCCCAACCCAGATACTTTCCCTACATTTCCCCGCGACTATAGCACGCTTCTAAACATACGCGCATATGAAATTACATACTAGGGACATTAATCTTAATAACGTACGTCAAGACCATTAAAGTCACAAAAGTATTTGTCCCGGTCTATAGAACTGCGGCGTCCGCGTATGAAAGAACGGTTCACATTTTACTGTTCATTCACTGGCATTCTTGTTTGTAACCTATTTTTTCGAGTACGCAGAATCTGCTCGGCTCCCGACGTAGGTGTGACTTCCTGTAACCGTTGTAAACAAGTGGAAACAAGGACACGGCGTTTAAGAAGGGTTCGTATATGTATATACACGCGTGTACATATACATATACATATACATAAAGCGGTGTTGCAAGGCTCAATAGGATAACAGAAACCGAGGTCAGAACGTTAGCGAGACACGCTCACGGAGGTACTGTAATTTGATGCGTTAGGTTCCACGCTGATACGTGGGGGATGCGCTCGTATTCACACAAGAATTCCTTTGACATTTTCGCACTTTAAAAACTGATATCTTTTACCGTAAGATACGTGACACGTGAGCCACTCCGTTTAACACGTCACTGCATGCCGGATCATCTACGGTACAAACTCTCTAACGAGACCTATATTTCATAATTATAAATATCCCTAGATTACAACATTCCGAAATAGTTTTTAAAAAATCGCGTTACAGTTGAATATTCCTAAATACCAATATATTTAGATATCAATATTTTTCGATACCCATATCCCTAGATCCTAAGAAAACCCTAGATATCACTATCCCTACAGACTCGTGTCTTTATAGACGAATATCACTAGATCGCACAATTTCTACATTTTAATATACTTAGATGCAAATATTCCTAGATCTCAGTGTTCCTATGACACAATATCCCTAGATTCCGTTATTTCTAAAAGTAAACATCTCTAAATCTAAACATACTTTAGTTTAAACATCCCTAGATGTTATAATGCACAAATCCAAATATCCCTAGATCTAACCATCCCAAATTCAAATTTCCCTAAATCTCGCAATCCATGTATCAAAATATCACTAGATCTAACAAGCCTTAATTCCAAATATCCTTAGATTTCACAATCGCGGGACCAAATGTCCCTAGAGCTAAAAATTTTGAAATCGGAATTTCCCCAGGTCTTAAAATCCACAAGTTCAAATTTCCCTAGATCTCAAAATTCTCTAGTTCAAATATCCCTAGATCTCAAAGTTCCCAAGTTCAAGTCTCCCTAGATTTGACAATTTCCAAGTCCAAATCTCCCTAGATCAAAATTTCGAAATCCAAATCTCCCTAGATCTCAAAATCCCCAAATTCAAATTTCCCTAGATCTCAAAATTTCGAAATCCAAATCTCCCTAGATCTCAATATCCCTCAATTCGAATTTTCCTTCTCAAAATTTCGAAATCCGAATCTTCCTAGATCTCGAAATCCCCAAATTCAAATCTCCCTAGATCTCAATATCCGTAAGTTCGAATTTCCCTTCTCAAAATTTCGAAATCCGAATCTCCCTAGATCTCAAAATCCCCAAATTCAAATTTCCCTTGATCTTGCAATTTCCATGTCCAAATATCCCTAGATCTCAAAATCTCTAAATCCAAATATTTCTGTCTCCGTAACCTTAACTCCAAATATCGATAGATCTCGTTTTCCCCAAGTCTAAATATCCCTAGATAGCAATATCCCTAAATCTAGATATTCCTAGATCTAAATATTCGTAGCTCCCACTATTCCTAAATTCCAGTATCCCTAGATATCGTTATGTATCCAACATAAGAATATATATCAACATTGATCTCTATATTCCTATACACCTATATCCTCCTATATTATCCCTACGTGTGTCTCTGCATTCATAAACCCAATTTTCGGAAGAAGAGCGAAGAGTGAGAGTGGCATAAATTATACTCAAGGATAATACATTATAAAATGACGGATTTACGAAATTCGATTACACATTTATTATAAATAGAACGTTTAATGATCATTGTCGCCGCTTGATTGGTTGTCCATGCTTATCGCATACTTGACAAGTATCGTCGGAAATCGTATCGACGGGGACGATGAAAAATGAGCGTGGGCATCGAGACGAGCAAAAAGCCGTGAGAAATGATCAAACGTTATTTTATCGTTCGTGAAAAGATAGTAGTGACGATGGCATGCATTACCGGAGTCAGGTAGACGGTTTAAAGTAATGGGTTTTGCAAGTGCTCTTCTCACGCATCATATTATCTCGTTTTAGAAACGTGCCCGGTACAGGTGATGCATCTATATCGGTAACCGCGAGCCCTAGAGGCAAACCGGGGTTTCAGAGCCGTCTGCGGCGGTGTATTTTTGCTCGCGGAAGGAAAACTTCTAAGGAATTATATCGTCGAGCACTTTGTCGTAAATCACGGACAAGCTTAGTCATTAAATTATATTTTCACCGCGGAATCAGCGACCGGATAGGATTTACGACGAAGAAAAACGAAATGAAACTCCTGAATTATGCGAACGCCGAAATTTGTCTCCGCAAAAATTACCCTGTCGCGGATCGTTGCCTCGAACTTTCGAAGCTACCTGAATTTAATGTCACGTGGTCGATAAGATCACGTGATTTTACTTTCGATACCAAACTCGAGTTTCTTTTTTATAACCGGAGGAAAAATACAGATATTATTTATACACAAAATATGTAAGAACTCTTCACAAAATTATAAATAGTAACACATATATTTGTATTTACATACATTCACCTTTTTAACTCCCACACCGTTTCACACTTTAAATCACACAAGTTTGTAAAAATTATTTTTTGTCCCTGGCACATAATATGCAAGTTTATATTTCTAACTTTATAATTTTAACACGGACACTAATTTAAATTCAAGTTATATTACGTTCAGTCTATTCGTGTTCCTGTTTGATTACATTAAGTCCACTCATGGTTGATTAGGTTAGGTTGCGTTAAGAAATGTGACCGTATTTTATTTAAATTGAAATATCCATTTACAACTGTAAGTCTCACATTTAAACTGAAATAATTACAACTATAAAACTTTGAAGTAATTACTTTGTCTCTGCTGTTTTCATTTAAAAAAGTTAATAATAATTATTTATTCTAAATTTTTCCGTGTCACAGTTTTAAATTAAATTTTTCAACACCAGAAGTCAAAACTTTCATATGTAGCATGCCAGAGTGTGGAAAAAGTAAGTAATGCAATATGTATGAAGATCATTTACAACGAGTCAATGCTCAAAGTACATGAATTTAAAAGTAATTTAAATCACTGGGAGAAAGAAAATGTTCACTGAAATATCCACTGTATCAATTTACGACAAGTTCTATCGAAATTATTATGAAAATAAATGGTCACAGTTTAGAAAGAAGATTCGTAATTTGGCGCGTTTTTGGAGTTACGATGGCAACGACGAAAACAGCAACGATATCGACAAGAATTTCTACGAGCCTCGAAAGTTACGATTAATTATCGACATCACTGAAACGATGCAATAGTAGGCAACGATTAATCGTATGTCGAAGTTCAGCGAGGAGTAACGTAAAAAATCGCGACGACAATTCCGATGAGTCAACGACACGATAACGCGAAACGAGGCCCGGATACGAAGCTGTCGTAAACGAATTGTCGAAATAATGACCGGGAACGGTCCGTGAAACAAAGAAGAAACGGAACACGGTCGTTTTCGCGAGCGGCGTAAAAACGCAATTATGGAAACGATGACGTCACCGGGATGACGACGTGAACCGTAATACACGTCGATGCAATGCACACATCGGAGCGCCCACGCGCGGCCAATGGCGTGTACGACTTATTGCTCTGTATAGCCCCACGAAACTGTATATAGGTGTACATAACGCTCGCACGTTCGTGTGTATCGTAAAATAGAGAGAGGTCTGTAACTACCTTGCGCCGGAACACGCGGAGGTATCAGCCGCGATCTCGCCGTGATGTCGGTCACCGTGACAGGTTAGGCGGTCGGTGAGCCTTCGTTTGCTTCTTCTCAGAACTCGATACTTCTCTCACTGTTGGTAACGAAACAACACCACCAAATATCTTATTTGCCAGCACTTATATATTCCGTCGACGACACGATTCGCTCTTTCAAACGTGCGACACACGATCCCCAGATCCCGACAACGGTGCACTCGCTCTCTTTCTCACTGAAACGGCCAGGAAATTCTCGTTACTCTCACTCTGTATTACTCTCTGTTCCGGTCAATCGTCGGACACAACAAAATCACGAACAACTTGTTATCACTTTTCCTCAACGACGCTGGCCCGGATGCACGCTGACCTGCTGCACACCGTTCAAACTCATAATCAGCTCTTCACCCGATTCACAAAGGTCCCCGCCTTTTTCTTTCTTAAATCTCGTTTTTACGTACACGTATGTATTATTACGATCGCGTATCTAATATAATCTCGCTTTTCCACGAAAGCCGCTGCTATGCGAACCACGCGCGACTGCACGACTATTGCGAGGGCAATAACGACGACGTACTGCGTGTGCGACGATGACGACGGCAGTAGCAGCAGCGGCGACAGCGACGGCGGCGGTGGCGGCGGTGGCGGCGGCAATGGCGACGGTGAACGACGACAGACGTCGTCGAAGGGACCGGCTGATGGAACGGGGCAAATATATGCAGCTGACGGAAGCCTCGATGCGATTTTGTAAGAGGGTGAAAAAGATAAGGCGAGCAATGCTGGTTAGGCGACGGGATTGCGACTGCTTGCTGCTTGCTTGGCTAGCCGCAAACGGGGTCCTGGCGCGACACCGACTGTCCGACGGCAGCGCCCCCTCTCCCCTCTCTCCTTCCGACCCCCCTACCTCGCTCCTACCACCACTCATCCATTCCCTGCCCGCCTTCCACCTTTCTTACTCTTTGACCGCACGCACGCACACAACCTATTTCTTCTCCTTCTCTTTCCCTCTCCAGAATCGACTCCTTGCTCCGTTTCATTCGTCTCGCTTAGTCACACCTACGATCCCACGCTTCACGCATTCTCCCTCTCTCTTTATTCCTTGTCTCTTCTCTCTCTACCATCCATGCATCCTCTAATTTCAAACTGCCGTCTCTCTTGCGCCGCCGCTATTTTGTACGCGCTGTCTCGCTCCATCGTACGTACGAACTTTCGATACAAACATAGCGGCGCTCTGTCCTCGTTCGATCGTCGTTCGCTCCTTTTTCCTCCTTTCCCCGACTACGTGGAGCCAGGAACCCTTCCCCCGCATAATATCAGCCGCCCGTCTCGCCCCTCGTTGCACCCATGCGGCCGTATACCATGCCACGTCGCCGTCACCGCCACCACCGCCGCCGACGATGAGGCACCAACCGCCCCTCTCCGTGGCTCGATAAGCGTTCCTCGCGCGCATGCGCCGACTACCTTAAACCCCCACCACCGATATTTAGTCCTCACTATGTCTCTTTCTTTCTTTAACAGCTGGCGACCCAGCCTGCTTACCTTGCTGGAGAACCGGCAACGGAGTTAGGTTAGGTTTGGTCGCGCATCGCCCGCTGACTATCACGCTTGCCGCGGGTAGGAGAGGGTTAGTCAATTTCTCTTTCTCACTTTTTCTTTGCTCTTCTCGTTCGGGACAGGGACGGAACACGGAACCACGGCTCCACGAGCATATCATTACCGTTCTATCGTCGAAGGGACCGGCTGATGGAACGGGGCAAATATATGCAGCTGACGGAAGCCTCGATGCGATTTTGTAAGAGGGTGAAAAAGATAAGGCGAGCAATGCTGGTTAGGCGACGGGATTGCGACTGCTTGCTGCTTGCTTGGCTAGCCGCAAACGGGGTCCTGGCGCGACACCGACTGTCCGACGGCAGCGCCCCCTCTCCCCTCTCTCCTTCCGACCCCCCTACCTCGCTCCTACCACCACTCATCCATTCCCTGCCCGCCTTCCACCTTTCTTACTCTTTGACCGCACGCACGCACACAACCTATTTCTTCTCCTTCTCTTTCCCTCTCCAGAATCGACTCCTTGCTCCGTTTCATTCGTCTCGCTTAGTCACACCTACGATCCCACGCTTCACGCATTCTCCCTCTCTCTTTATTCCTTGTCTCTTCTCTCTCTACCATCCATGCATCCTCTAATTTCAAACTGCCGTCTCTCTTGCGCCGCCGCTATTTTGTACGCGCTGTCTCGCTCCATCGTACGTACGAACTTTCGATACAAACATAGCGGCGCTCTGTCCTCGTTCGATCGTCGTTCGCTCCTTTTTCCTCCTTTCCCCGACTACGTGGAGCCAGGAACCCTTCCCCCGCATAATATCAGCCGCCCGTCTCGCCCCTCGTTGCACCCATGCGGCCGTATACCATGCCACGTCGCCGTCACCGCCACCACCGCCGCCGACGATGAGGCACCAACCGCCCCTCTCCGTGGCTCGATAAGCGTTCCTCGCGCGCATGCGCCGACTACCTTAAACCCCCACCACCGATATTTAGTCCTCACTATGTCTCTTTCTTTCTTTAACAGCTGGCGACCCAGCCTGCTTACCTTGCTGGAGAACCGGCAACGGAGTTAGGTTAGGTTTGGTCGCGCATCGCCCGCTGACTATCACGCTTGCCGCGGGTAGGAGAGGGTTAGTCAATTTCTCTTTCTCACTTTTTCTTTGCTCTTCTCGTTCGGGACAGGGACGGAACACGGAACCACGGCTCCACGAGCATATCATTACCGTTCTACGGAGTCATCTCGTTTTATTTTATTTTTGATCAAACAAATTTTATCTCTGTGCAAATTGTGTACGTTTACTTATATGTAACCGATGTTTGTAACGTTTTATTATTGATGTATTCTATACTCGTTATATATAATTGTATACAATATTTTTTACAGACTATTGATGTATAGAATGGTCTTTGCATATAATTGAGCTATGTAATGTTTTGTATAATTGATGTATACTTATGTTTTTTATGTTCTTTACGTACAATTGACATACATATGTACATTATATATAACCGATGTTTGTAGTATTCATTATAGATGTATACAATGTTCGTCGTTGAATATGATCTTTTATTTTAATTTTATATTAGATTTTCTTGGGGGAATTTTATGTAGTGCAAATTGATACTATATGTTTGTACAAGACAACTTCGTATGATAGTTTTGTTCTTTTGTACTGATTTTGAAATTCGCCCAATTTTCTACATTTCAAAATTTTTTCTATATTTTTAAAATTGCATTTCTCTCCTCAAAATTCTAAGTTTCTGAACTTTGAGTTTGTCGATAAAGAATTAGAGACCCTGAGTTCCAAATTTCAAGCGATACCCTTCGCAGCATTTAAAACTTGAAGCTCCGAGGTTGTAACTCTTCTGACCTTCAAACCTTCCAATCTTCCAGTCCCTTGATCTTCAAATCTTTCCAACTTCATCCGACCTTCAAACCTTCCGATCTTCGTTATGAGTCTAACGTGTTTTAATCTTGAGTACAAAACTTGAAACTTCGTTTGAAAATCATTTCGAAGCCCCTTCGAACGTCCTAAACCTGCAGCGTCCAGAGCCCTTTGAATTTTTCCAAATAGCGCTCCAGGCATCCCAAATTTATGTTGACCCAATCTTGAACCAACTCCATAAAAGGCCGTCCCTGATTCCTGCATATAGGAAACACAACTTCCAACGCGTGTACTGTACATCGGCGTAATCTTGTTTCTCCATGCGTTCAGGCGCACAAGACAGCAGAGGAAGAAAAAGATCGGATACGAGGAAGGAGTAAGAAGCTTAGCGAGATTCGAGTAAAATTCTTTACGTTCGATGCCGATAGCCATTACGCTACGGTGCATAACGTGGAAAGATACCGATATACGGTAACACCTTGTTAACCGTTTGAATTTTATTCTAGTTAACACCTTCAACTGTGCCTTAAAACATGTCCCCGGTGGGCAATCTTTGATGGGTCGTAATATCTTAAAATGATACTTAAATGAATGACTTAAGTAGAACTTAATATTTGATGTATGGTTACTGTGGTCGTTTAACTTGATTTAAGTATGAAAATTTATGCAAACATTCATTTTATCGAATGATATCATTTCTTTAATGGAAGTAATATACTATATTGTGTATACTGTTTCAATGATAGTCTAGCAATAAAATCAAGAATGATATTATAACAGACAAATATAGTAAATAAGGAATAACGATACGTTTTTTAATATGAACTAATCTAATATTGAAATTTAGTCAAGATAACTGTATAAATAAAAAAGGGCGAAGAACTCAGAGACTCAAAACTGCGAAAGTAATATGGCGTCATGGAAAGCATTGCGCATGCGCATTGCGAATATAAATCACGATCGATATAACAATATAAATTATAATTTCTTGACATAAAGAGGTTAATAACTTTCACAGAATATATTCCACAGAATTGAATACTATAACAAAAATGAATACAAAGGCAATTGTGAATGGCTTAATATATTAGCGACGTATTGTACTTTCCCGTGTAAGGTGCGCATGCGCGTTCGCGCGACGCCATATTGGTCTCGCGCCGTTTTCAAATATTCCCAATAGAGGCTGCATTTGATGAACAAGAATAATGTTTCCATTATTCAGTTTTATGCTCCAGGCCCCAACATAAATAGACGTAGACATTGATGGACTAATTTTAATTATCTCCAGCGATCGACAACTATTTCCATTTACTTTCACGCGTTACGGTAAATTTGAAATATAATGAAGTATCGAAAAGCAAGGTGAAAGAACTTGTAGCACATACTGTACACCTGCTTAATCTCGTTCCCTCCGGTGTATAGGAAGGAAGGGGGCAAAGTGACAGTGCGCGAGGGAGGCAACGAATGAGATCCGTAGAAAATTCTTTATAGCGACGCCGATGGTCTCTGTGTGCTACGGTTCGCAGCGGGAAAAGATCCCTGTGTCTGATACAGAAGGACCGTGCATATCGTTTGCACGAATATTTCTACGGTACATTGTACATACGTGCATTCTATATATACGTTGGTACTTATCACGACACGTTGTCACGATTCGCTCTTTGACTCTTTTTTGTATTTCGGAGTTACTGATTTTACACTTCCTTCCGTATAAATCATTTTACCGGGTTTTGTGTACTGTTAGCTTCACTGATTTAAACATTGAGGTGATACATTATGTTTTGAGCGCTAGTTTTTTTAGATCTATGAATTTTGATATTATCTGTGATTTTCAGTTTTCCTTTTCTGATATATTTGCATTTTGTATTCACAAATTCTTGAATTTTTAAATCCTTAAATTGTCAAATTTCTGAGACCTTAAATTGTCAAATTTTCAGGGTTTCAAATTCCTTAATTTCTAAATTTTTTAAATTTTATTTTTTTTACTTCTCAAGTATCTAAATTGTTGTTGAATTTGCAAATTCTCTAGTTTTCCACTTTTTAATTTCTCAAATCCCTTAATTTCCCGCTTGTTAATTTCTCAAATCCCGCAATTCCTCGCTTGTTAATTTCTGAAATTCTCAATTCCACGCTTGTTAATTTCTCAAATCCTTCAATTTCCTATTTGTTAATTTCCTAAATCCCGCAATTCCTCGCTTGTTAATTTCTCAAATTCTCAGTTCCACGCTTGTTAACTTTTCAAATTCCCCAATCCCACGCTTGTTAATTTCCCAAACCCCGCAATTCCCCGCTAGTTAAATTCACAAATCCTCAAATTCTGCTGATTTTAATTTCTCAAATTTCCAAATTCCTCACTCGTTACTTTCCTATAATCCCAAATTTTCAAATCCCTGAATTACCATAGTATTAAATCCTCGTTTCCAAATTTCTCACTCGATAAATCCTCAGCTTTCAAATTTCCCACCTGATAAATTCTCAAATCCCCGAATTTCTAATTTTTCAAATACTTAAGTTGCTTGTACTAATTCTGAACTTTCAAGTCCTTAAATTTCCAAATTCCTAACTAATTAAATTTCCAATTTACCAAATTGCATCCAATCTCCTAAATTTCCAACAACTCAATTTCCCGAATAACCATCCCGTATCCGATTCTCGAAATTCCAAAATTTCGTTCCCATTTTTCAAGCACACCGAAAATGTCGATTAACTCCTTCACGTATTACGGATATCTTCGGTTCGAAACTCTTTCTTCAGATCCCCGATACTAACAGCGGAAGCGGAAGCACACCATTCTCGCCTCACTGACTCTGATAAGCCGAGCAACTGCTACCTATACACGTGAACGTACTTTCTGTTTCCGAAATCGTTACAACGTGTTGCGTCGATGCAGAAATATGTTATCTTAGCAGTTTTGCGTGCTGATAAATCGTGCTAATATAAATGTTCCTACACGTAACTTTCAATGCATGTAACTTTCAAACTGTTACTAGTTTAAAAACTGTTATCACTTCGAATATCGTCGTCATCGCATATTTTATCGAATAATTTTTATATCCTCGAAAATTCTTTTTTAACATTTTTTTATATTTTGTATTCATTTTATTCGTATATAGGAATAAACGTTATTATGACTGTTACATTATATTTAATATTCTCAATTAGTATTTTTATTCGTGTTTCATTTTTTCAATTAATATTTTTGTTCATATTAAATATTATCAAATAATATTTGACATTAAAATATTCATAATTAATATTCTTTGTAGGTTCCATAATTAACAATTTTTTATTTTGCATAAATTGTCAGTCACTTCGTATTTAATATTCTTAATTAGTATTTTTATTCATGTTTAATTTTTTCAATTAATATTTCCGTTCATATTTAACCTTATCAGTTATTATTTTTATTCTTATTTAATATCTTCAATTAATATATTTTTTCTCATTCAATATTTTTATTTATGTTTAATATTCTAAATTAATATTCTTCATCAGTTCTCTAATTAGTAATTTTTTATGTGCTGCATAAATTATCATTTCACACAGAATTTTTGAAGGTTAAAGCAGATAACACATTTCATTTAAAATTGCAAATATGCATCTACAAAATTGCTTTTCAAATTACAGATTTTGAATAATTGTCCAAAGAATGTATGTTAATAAAATGTACACATAAATGTTTTCTTTCATAAATAAAAAATTATTATATATTTTATATAGTGCTATTATATTTCTGCTGTAATTCTGTATACTGGTTATTTAAAACCGTTGTTTGATAGTCAAACGTTATTTACGACATAATTTTTCGGATATTCAAGCAGTATTGAAAAATGGATAAGATTTTCCAAATACTGCGTATGCGGCAAGTATATCGTAGCAAGTCGAACGTGTTCGTATACATAAATGAAAGAGAAAATAGAGAAACAGAGGTCGCTAAGGTGCGATATGGAACGTCGAGGGATACGAGCTCATATTTCTCGTGAAACTGAACCGAATAAATTTTTAACAAAAATTGCTGACTCGCTACATTACGTTACCGTCGCTCCTGTTCTGTTTAATGCCAGTCTACCGCCATCTTTTCTTTCTAGTGCCCGGTTCTTCTCCCTTCGAGCGTTATCGCCCTGCCGAATATACGAGACCGTAATCGCCAGTTTATTTGCCCGATTACACAGATAAATACGAACATTTTAAATATTTCTGTTTTGCCAAAGCGATTAGCTGCACGTAATTTTCTTCCAACAAATTTATCGAACGATGTCAGATCGTTAATGTAATCACGCGTTTCCTTCGAACAATCGTATCACCGTAACCGCAAACCACGCAAATGGAAGCGAGCTTCATTGCAAATGGAACCGTATTATTCTTAGCGAGGCAACTTTTAATTAAAAGCTTGTACATTTTTTTAATTTCAGCTATTCCCGTATTCTTTTTGAATTTTCTGAATGTGGAAGATTTGAAAATTTGTAGCTGAAATTATTTGGAAAGCTTGATATTTTTATACAGTGCAATATTTCATAGTTTCTGTACT